CAGCACTCTGGGAGGCCGAGGCAGGCGGATCACCTGAGGTCAGGAGTTCGAGACCAGCCTGGCCTACATGGTAAAACCCCGTCTCCATTAAAAACACAAAAACCAGACAGGTGTGGTGGCGCGTGCCTATATTTCCAGCTACTCAGGGGGCTGAGGCAGGCAAATCGCTAGAACCCGGGAGGCAGAGGTTGCAGTGAGCTGTGATTGTGCCACTGCCCTCCAGCCTGGGTGACAGAGTGAGACTGTCTCAAAAAAAAAAAAAAAAAAGGGTCAGACGCAGTGGCTCACGTCTGTAATCCCAGCACTTTGGGAGGCTGACACAGGAGCAGCTCAGTGGCCCATCCTGCCTGGAGAGCGAGCCAGGGCTGCCAATGGCGCAGTGCTTAGGCCGATCCTCACAGGTCAAGCGAGGCAGCCCCACGCCATCCCCTCCAGGACATCACACCCGGGGCCCCGGCCACTTCTACAACTCCCGCTCCTGGTGCACACGGGATGGCTGTCTCCAGGGCTCTTCCCTGCTTTCTTACACGGGTGGGACCCCAAAAGTCGGCCCATGGAGCAGCAAGTGTCGAGGGACACGGTGCACTCAGCACTGCAGGGTAGGGTGCTGGCTGCAGCCCTCTAAAATCTGAAATGTTTTTTAAGTTTACTTTTTTCCCCGCTGGCAAGTATGTAGAGCAATAAAGTTTAAACTTCAAAAAAAACACCAGAACAAAAATACGAAAGCAGCACTTCTAACAGCACCACAGAGAGCAGATGATGGCACACGCCAAGCTCAGGGAAGACCAGCAGCACGGACCGGGTGCTTCTGTGCAGGCTACGCCAGAGACCAGGGCCCTGCAGGGGCAGAGGCTTTCTGGCATCTTTTCAAACTACACTAATTTTTTTTTTTTTGAGACGGGGTCTCGCTCTGTTACCCAGCCTCAACCTATACTAAAATTAAAACAAAAAGGCCAGGCGTGGGCTCACGCCTGTAATCCTAGCACTTTGGGAGGCCGAGGCAGGTGGATCACTTGAGATCAGGAGTTCAAGACCAGCTGACCAACATGGAGAAACCCCATCTCTACTAAAAACGTAAAACTTAACCAGGTGTGGTGGCGTCTGGCTAGTCCCAGCTACTTGGGAGGCTGAGGCAGGAAACTGCTTGAGCCCAGGAGGTGGAGGCTGCAGTGAGCTGAGATCGCACCTCTGCACTCCAGCCTGGGCCACAGAGCGAGACTCCATCTCAAAAGAAAATTAAAACAAAACAAAACAAAACAAAATTCAGCCGGGCGTGGTGGCTCAGGCCTGTAATCCCAGCACTTTGGGAGGCCGAGGCGGGCAGATCACGAGGTCAGGAGATCGAGACCATCCTGGCTAACACGGTGAAACCCCGTCTCTACTAAAAATACAAAAATTAGCCGGGCGTGGTGGCACCTGCCTGTAATCCCAGCTAGTTGGGAGGCTGAGGCAGGAGAATGGCATGAACCCGGGAGGCGGAGCTTGCAGTGAGCTGAGATTGCGCCACTGCACTCCAGCCTGGGAGGCAGCAAGACTCTGTCTCAAAAAAAAAAAAAAATCCAAAAGATGGGGTGTTAACCTCTTGCAATGAAGAACAGGAACACCCAAGGCAAAACGGTAACGGTCTGTCCACTGAGAAGCAAAGCCCCCACATGAGCAAGCTGCAGGTGGCTCGCAGGCACTGATTTCTGCTGTCCTGTTTTGGATGCTATCTAACATCTTCATGTTCAACCCAGGGAAGAAACAGCCCGCCATCGCCCTGGGGCCTCTCAGCCCACAGCAGGTTCCAAGCCTTTCCAGCCTTCGGGATGGACAACCCTTAAGGAGCAGAGGTCAGGGAACCCTGACCCCGCCACCCTTGCCCAGGCCACCCGCTGCCCTCACAGGCACAGACAGCAGGCCTCTGTCCATGGCCAGGGCACTCCTGGCCATGTTCAGAAGAAACAGGCCCTGTTCTCTCCCGCTCACCACTTCACCCAGCTCAGCTGGCACAAAAATGCTGCTGCCACACCTTCACCCTGCCCAGCCCGACCTGGCAGGGCCTCAGAGCAGTCTGCCAGCTAAAATATGGGATGCCCAGATAACTGTGAATGTCAGATAAGAATCTTCTGGGACAAGTATGTCCCATGCCATATTTGGGACATACTTACACTAATAAATTTCTGTTTATCTGAAACTCAAACTTGCCTGGGCATCCTGTACTTTTTTTTACTAAATTTGGCGCCTCTACACATGAGGTCCCTTTGCGGGGGGGAGGGGGCAGGAGCAAGCCCCTTCCCAGGCTGAGTCCCTGCCGGCAGCTCTCACAGGCCAGGACGGCCACCCAAACGGGGCCCATGCCAGGCAGCCGGCGACAGACGGATAAAGGCTGTTCAGGAGACACCTTCCTCTCTCTTGTCTGGGGGCTCAAGAATCCAGACACCCACCTCCTAGGGCAAGCACCAAGACAGGAAGCCAACCTACAACACCCAGCTCACTGCAACCACAGGCCCTGCCGGGGTCCTGCCGGAACCCGGGGTTCGGGTCCAGAAGCCAGGGATAAACGCCGCTTCTCCTATAGGGACTGTCAGAGTAGAGCGGGAGAGGCCCACAGTCTCACCTGCAGGGAGAGGAGGTCCTTGGAGTGGGCACACGGAGGGCCTGACAACCCTGAGCACACCTGGCCACAGTGACCACGGACGCACACACAGCAGCAGTCTGGATCCCACGCGTGGCTGTGTTGCCAGCAGACAGCACCCAACCTGCCATGCTCCTCATCACAGAGAGAGACCAGCAACATCTCCGCCAGGCATGGTGGGCACCTCCGCCACAGCCTGGGAGTCCAGGCCACCCAGCCTCACAGCACTGGAGTGTTGTGGGTCAGTGAGGCCCCGGGACCGGCCTCCAGGCACAGAGGGACAGAGGGTTCGGGGAGGGCGGTGCAGACCCACACAGGGCTCCTCCCAAGCCTGTGCAGGGCCCAGGGGAGCTGCACCTCCGGGACGGGACAAGGCAGGGTCCTGGCTTTCGTCAGCCACAGCACACCTGCCACAGGGCACAGAAGGATGACTGAGAGACGAGGTCCTCACCCACACCATGGGGAAACAGAGGCACGCGACGGTGGGGGGGCAGCCAGGCTGGCGCCAAGTTCACAGGCAGGCGGGCCTGAAGGCCGAGCAATGCAGCCACTGGGAAGGCATGAGTCGGGGTCGGGGTGTCCCCAGCCCTAGAGCCCAAAGCCGCCACCACTCCCCAACCCCAGCCTGGGTGGGGGCAGGGAGAGATCTTCTTGGGACCAATCCCAAAACCATGCGCAGTGGGCCCGGCTGGAGCCCAGGCAGTAGGCATCCTCTCTACCGGGGTGAGAAACTGGGCCCTCACGTCAGGCTGGAAGGGGGGTCTCCAGGTGGGGAGAAAGAACAGGAAGAAACAGGTCGCTCCCTCAAGGGACCCCACACCCAGGCTGCCCCAGGCGTGGGGTGGGCTGAGCCCACCTGTGTCCACACAGGGACCTGGCAAAGCTGTATGAGGCTGTGGGAGGGGGCTGACGCTGGATGGGCACAGGCCCACCGCCCCTGTGAGAGGACAGGGGAGGCCCAGAGCTGCTGATGCAGACTGACCGCCCATCTCACAGACGGGGTGTAGGGGGCTCCCACCGTCCCCAAGGTCACAGGGCTGGCCGGCGAGACCACACGGCGTCCAAGGCAGCAGAAACCACGCTCGAGGGACACGGAGTGTTCTGGGCACTCGGGGTCACGGGCATGGGGATCAGGCCAGAGCGAGAGAGACCCCAGCTCCCTCCTGCAGCGCAGGCTGCAGGTGGGAGAGGCAATGGGCACCTGCCGAGAGGGTCACAGGCAGGGAGGGGTCTCAAGAGTCCCGGGGAGGGAGGCACTGATGGAATGATGGAATGCGCACGACCCCCCATCTCCCTGTGAAAGACCCCACGGAGTCCCAGGCACTCGAAGGAGGGCAAGGCCCAAAGCTGCAGGCCCGCGGGGCCCGAGCAACAGGAGGCTTGACCCAGAGAGGAAGCCCCGGACCCCTGCCCAGGGGACCCTCCGGCCTCTCCCCAACCCTAGCAAAGCGCCTCCCGAATGGGCTGAGGTGAGCGGGAGGCAGGGAAAAGTTTGGGGGGACTTAGAGGCGTGCTCGGGATGCTCGCTCCCTGCTGAAGACCCCCTGAGGGAGCCCTGCGGGGGGAAGCCCCTGGGCCAGGCTGCAGGAGGGCTCTAGGGAGGAACGCGGCCCCTCACCGGGGCTCCCCATCCGCAGAGGGGACGCACCGGAGTCCTAGCACAGGGCCGCGGGCCGGGGGAGACCCCACAGCCCCAAAACTCCTGCTCCCAGACCGGCAGCCGGCGCCTCCCAAGGCCACGTGCTCCCGCGGGGGGCTCCCGGCCCCGGCCCCCCGGATGTCCCCGGCCGCCCGCGTCCCCCCGCCACCCCCGCGGCCGCCCCCTCGGCCCCAACAGGTGGGCCGCCCCCCACCCCCGGGCCGCCGCGCCCCGCCCGCCCCGATGGGGCCGACCCGCGGGGCCATTTTGGGTTGGGGTGAGCACTGCGGGGGGAGGTTCGGGAAGGAGCCGGGGGCCGCGGGGGCGGGCGGGGGACGCGGGGCCTGCGGGGCGGAGGGCGGTCGAGGAGGCGCAGCGGCGGCGGGTGGGGTGGCGGGCGGTCGGGGCCGGCATAAAGGCGGCGGGGGCGCTTACCTTCCGCCCTGGTACATGTTGCGCCATGTCCGGGCCGGCGCGCGAGGCCCGGGGCGGGCGCCCCCACGGCGCTCGGCGGGGCGGGCCGGGAAAATGGAGCGCGATGGCGGGCGGGGGCGCGCGTTTTAAGGGGCCGCGATGCTGCCGCCGCCGCCGCCGCCGCCGCCGAAGCCGCCGAGGCCGCGCGAAGACGGGAGGGCCGCGGCGCGGGCGGGAGAGGAAGAGGAGGAGCGGCCGCGGGCGGCGGGGAGGGGCCTCGGGCGCCGCCGCCCACCGCGCGGGCCGTTACCGACCCCGCGCCGCCCGCGGCCCGCGCGCCCCTTCCCGGACAGTTCCTCCCGGCGCCCCCGAGTCCTCCCCGCGCGCCGCTTCCCGGGTGGGCCCTTCCACCAGACCCCCCTGGTAGATCCTCCCCTAGTGCCCTGGGGGTAGAGGGGGGATCCTCCACAAGGGTCCTTTCCCTGGTGATTCTTCCTGTGCTCCACAGGTGAGTCCTACCATAACTCTCCAGGGGGTTCCTCCTGATGCTGGGGTCCTCCGGCATTCCCCCCTGACCCCCAACAAGGGCCCTGAAGCTCAGCGGCCCAGCCCTGGCCTCGGGGTCCCCACCCCACACCTCCCTTCCAGGCCTAACCTTTGCCCCCGACACCAGGCAGCGTGTGTCCTTGGCCTTCGCCGCCCAGCCCGCATGGCATCTCTGGACCGGTGACCGTGCGCGCCTTGGTGTGGGCAGGCTCCGTAGCCGGCAAAGCCTCCCTGAACTGTGACCTGGTGAGAAGGCCACAGAGGAGGTGCCTGTGCCCAAAGGCCACCTCCGAAGACCCCACCTGAGGCTGGAACCCCGCGCCTGCTGACCTCCCCAGCCCTAACGGGGCTGGAGTCCGGGAGCGGCCGTGCTCTTTCCACAGTGAGGCAGCTGCCCTCCCTCCCCACCACCTGTCAGGATGCCTTCCTGTGTGTGTGTGTGCACAGGTCTAAGGAGAGGAGAGTCCAGTGACCCAGACGCCCCAGCCAGGAAGAGCATGAGGTGGGAAGGGGGCTTCCCAGATGGAGAAAAACAGATGGTCCCACAGTGGCTTGGAGACAGGTGCAACATCAGTGTTGGGGGAGGTGAGGAAAAGGAGCTGTCTTGGGGCTCCAGGCTGCTGGTTTGAGCAGCACCATGGGTCTCGGCCCTGCCTGCTCAGATGCTGGAGGTCAGTGACTGGAGGGAGCTGACATCTACCTGGGACATCCCTCCCTGTAGGACATGCAGCGGAGTGTTCAGGGCTATCAGGAGGGAGCCCTGTGCCCACGGTTCAAGATCTAGGCAGGTGGGACAGATGTGGTCAGGGTGCTGGGGACAGAGCATAGGGAATCCAGCACACAGGACACCAGCCAGGTGGGCAGAAAACAGCATGTGCTGGGAGGAAAGCCAGGTGGGGGTCCCAAGGAGAGCAGTGGCCACAATGTCTTGGCTGCAGAGCAGACCAGAAAGGAAAACCCTGCCAGGGTTAGCACAGGGCCAGGAACCGAAGCTGCAAGGCAGTGCTGTCTCTGGGGAGAGAGGGCTGTGGGTCCCAGGACACATCCTACAGGCTGCAGGGAACAGGAGCTGGCTTGCTGGTGATTGGGTGGGAAGAGCAGACAGCCAGGGGCCAGGTGCAGGAGAGGGGCAATGACAGGCAGTGTCTCCCCAGAAAGAAGGTGGGGCTGCTGCCTCCCCTGTCCTACAGCCCCGGCCTACCTCTGTCTCCTCAGCGGGAAAGCAACGCTGCGGCCTGAGATCTCCTTCCACCAACTCCTGGCATGGTCAGAAAGTTAGCCAGAAACAACAGAAAGTGCCAGGCAGCTAGGAGGCATGGGGAGAGTCCCCGAAGCTGTGTGTGTAGTGCCTGCTTCCGCTGCCATCCCAGAAACGGAGGCGCTTCACCCTGAGAACCCGGCCACGCCACCAGGACACATCCTGACAGTGACATGCACACTCTCCCCTGGCCTTGGCCTGGAGGGGAGCCTCCTGCAGACACCAGCCTTTGCTCCTTCTCCCGGTGGGGGTGGAGAGAACTGACTGCTGGAGCGGAGACAGTCAAAGCTGTCCTTCGGAGGGAGTACGGCGCAGGGTCTGGTGTCCCAGGGAGACAATCTGAACTTCAAGCCAGGACACTGCAGCAGAGAGGACACACCCCTTACCATGCAGAGTGACATTTAGTAAACTCTCAAAAGACAGCACAGAGCCCCGTTCCTCCAGCCGACCCCTACTCTGCCTCCCCACTCCAGACCAGTGAAAAAGGTGGATTGCCCTTAAGCCAGCTCAGAGGCAAAGTCCAAAGACCTCAGGTAAGTCAAACAATAAAAACAAAGAATTAAGAAGAATCCGGTCGGGTGCGGTGGCTCACGCCTGTAATCCCAGCACTTTGGGAGGCCGAGGCAGGAGGATCACGAGGTCAGGAGATCAACATCATCCTGGCTAACACGGTGAAACCCCGTCTCTACTAATAAATAGAAAAAATTAGCCAGGCATGGTGGCGGGCACCTGTAGTACCAGCTACTCGGGAGGCTGAGGCAGGAGAATGGAGTGAACCCGGGAGGTGGAGCTTGCAGTGAGCCGAGTTTGTGCCACTGCACTCCAGCCTGGGCGACAGAGTGAGACTCCGTCTCCAAAAGAAAAAAAAAAAAGGAGCGAATAGGCATTCAGGAAAGAGCTTTCGCGTCAGGACAGAAGTGACAGAAGTAGTGGCATATCCCCAGAGGCTGAGGTGGGAACATTGCTGAGGTGGCACATGACCACATCCATGTCATTCAACAACAGAAAAACAATTCAGCGAGGGTGTGAGGGGCCGGTGAGAAACCGGTATGGAAGAGAACACAACAGTGCCGGGCGCGGTGGCTCACACCTGTAATCCCAGCACTTTGGGAGGCCAAGGCAGAAGGATTACCTGAGGTCAGGAGTTCGAGACAAGCCTGGCCAACTTGGTGAACCCTCATCTCTATTAAAACTACAACAACAACAACAAAAATTAGCTGGGTATGGTGGCGCGTGCCTGTAGTCCCAGCTACTCAGGAGGCTGAGGCAGGACAATTGCACGAACCCTGGAGCCGAAACCACGCCACTGCACTCCAGCCTGGCGGCAGCACAGTGAGACTCCGTCTCAAAGAAACAAAAATTAAAAATAAATAAATAAAAAAACACAACTGAAGAAACAGAAGAGGACTCCACAGGACTGCTTTCAGATCTTCATAGCAGCATGAATTCAACAATCAGGAATTCAAATACTAGACGATAAAACAGCAGGATGAGAGGAAGATTTAAGAGCCCAGGAAACTGAAAGCACCGAAATCTCACTGTGGCTGGACTGAGTCAAAAACAGCAATGGGCAGAATATCAAGTTACTCAGAGAGGAAAGGCTTGAGATAATTTCAGAGCAAGACAAAGTGATTAACACAATAATTTACTCATGTATTATTTGTTAAACACCTACTTCAAGCTACAGGCCACTCTAGGCCTTGGAGGGTAAGGAAACAGCGCCTTTACCCTCAGAGGGCTTGCAATCTAGCAGGGAGGGGAAAATAATAAAGTATATAAAACCAGGGCTCTGGCTCTGAAATACCAACACTTTGGGCAGGTCACTTGAACCCAGGAGTTCGTGACCATCCTGGGCAACATGGTGAAAACCCATCTCTACTAAAAAATATAAAAATTAGCCGGGCGTGGTGGCGCACGCCTGTAGTCCCTGCTACTTTAGAGGCTGAGGCGGGAGGATAGCTTAGGCCTGAGACGCAGAGTTCACAGTGAGCCGAGACGGCACGTCTGCACTCCAGCCTGGGTGGGAGAGCAAGACCCTGTCTAAAAACAACAATAACAACAACAACAACAAAAACTGATCTTAAGTCCAACCAGTAAAGATGTAAATCAAAACAAAGACTTTCAGTGGGTCAAATACTGGTAGTGAGCTTTGATCTTCCGGTAAGAAATACCCTGCCAGGGGATACAGAAATGACAGTGCCAGTTTTTCACCATTCACAGGCAGAAGTCAGCCTGTGCCACCTCAGCCGAACCGTGCTGTGCTGCTGAAAACCAAACACACCCATCTCCTGATGTTTTTGTAATTTCTAAAAATAATCGTAAAAGACTTTTTTTTGGAGACAGGGTCTCACTCTGTCACCCAGGCTCAAATGCAGTGGGGCTATCTTGGCCCACTGCAGCCTCAAGTTCCTGGACTCAAGCGATCCTCCCACCTCAGCCTCCCAAGTAGCTGGGACTACAGGCGCGCACCACCACGCCCAGCTAATTTTTGTATCTTCAATATGGGTGGAGCTTCGCCATATTGCCCAGGCTGTTCTCCAACTCCTGAGCTCAAGCGATCTGCCCGCCTTGGCTTCCCAAAGTGCTGGGATTACAGGCCTGAGCCACAGCGCCCGACCATCCTAAGGAGACTTTTAAACTTGAGGTGAAGAAGCATTCATCTGCTTTTAGCAATTTTTTTCTTTAAATATTTAAAAGTGTATAAGTAGCAGCTCGACACGTATTTCTGTATTTCCATTACATCCTTTTATCTCCCCATATACATTTAGAAATATCTGGGATAACCTTCAGGTAATGTTAACAGCTGTTATTCCAGGGAGGACACTGTGGGTGCGTTTTTAAAGCTGTATTCGTTGCTGTATTAATAGTAAGCGGTGTTTCTGCAAAGCCAAGGAAGGTGTTTCTCCAGCGGGGCAGCGCCGGGCATTGTCTGGTGCGCAGAGGCAGGCCGCGAACTACATCTCCCAGGCGCCCCGCGCCCCCGCCCGCGCGGCTCCTGCTGTGGTGCCGGAGCGGCCTCGGCTCGGTCCGGAGCCAGCCAGAATCACAATTCGAATCAGGCGTGGGAAGCCCGGGGGACCACGCGGCCAACCCTGGGCGGACCTGCGAGCCGGAGACCGCGTCCCCGGGAGCCCCCAAACGCTACCCCGCGCGGCCGCCCGTGGCGCTGCGGAGGCCTGCGGGTGGGGAGGCGCAGTGGCGGCCGGGGCGACGGCCTAAGCACCTCACTGCTGCTGCGATACTTCGGGAGATCCTCACGCCCCTCCCAGGATCCTTCCCACTCCCGAGACTGCTTCTTCCGTCCCCTTGATTCCACGCGCCTCGGAGACCCGCCCTCTGCCGTCCCGAGACGAGCGTGCCCCTCTCCTTGCAAGGTGGGCTTCACATGCGCTCCCGCCCCACGAACCCTCCTCTGCCCCAGGGTTTCCTGCCGGGCCCTCGTGGTTTGGGGCTGCCCGTGCACTTCGGGATCCTGAGCAGCACAGCACCCCCGCCTCTACCCAGCAGGTGCCGGCAGCCCCTGTGGAAGGCAGAATGCCCCTCCCACAGATACTTGTGCACAAATCCCCAGAACCTTGGGGCAGGCTGGGTTAAGTGGCAGGTTAGGAAGGGCGCTAACCAGTTCACCCGAAAGCAAGCAGGCGACCCTGGATCTTCCGGGTGGGCCCAGCGTCGCCACAAGGGTGTTTCAGGGTGCAGGAGGGAGGCAGAGGAGAGGTGGGCAGAGAAGGTCAGGGCAGAGAGGGGCACTGCCGCTCCAAAGGAGACCAGAACTACCAGTCAAGGAATGTGGGCAGCTTCTTGAGGCTGGAAAAATCAGGGAAACAGAGTCTCCCCTGGCGCCTCCAGAAGGAACAGAACTCTGCCAACCCCTCATTCTGAGCCCAAAGATACCCATTTTGAACTTCTATAAAACTTAGCTAATAAATTAGTGTTGTTTTAAAACACTCAAAGCCAGGCACCAGTGGAACACTCCTATAGCCCCAGCTACTCAGGAGACTGAGGCAAGATGATTGCTTGGGTCGAGGAGTTCAAGACCAGCCTGGGCAACATACCATGACTGTTTCTCTACAAAAACTTAAAAAAAAAAAAAAAAGCCGGGTGTGGTTGGATGCGCCTGCAGTCCCAGCTACCCAGGAGGCCAAGGTGGGGGGATCACTTGAGTCCAATAGTTCAAGACCAGCCTAGGCAACATAGAAGCCTGCCCCCCCGCCCCCACCAACACCAAAAAAAAGAAAAACCAAAACCTACTGAATTTGTGGCAATTTTTATGGCAGCTACAGAATACTAGTACACAAATCCCAGTTGTGACAACCCAGGCAGTCTCCAGGCACTGCCTCTGTCCTGGCACCACCTCTGTTGGAGAGGCCTGTGCGTCTCAGTGCCAATACCCTGCTGCCGGCTGGCCCTGTGGCCACCTTACCCACCAGAAGGTCGGCTCTAGGCCTCAGCCTGAAGGAGGCCAGGGTTTTGCCTCTGCTGCCACCATGGGGGAGGCGCTCTGTAGGGAGACCTCATGGAGCAGAGAGGGCAACCATCCCAGCATCGCCAGCGTCCTGGACCACCACCCTCTGACTGCTGCCTCAGGAGACACCCAAACGAGGGCAGGAGAGCTGGCGGGATGAGCCCAGCCCATCCCCAAGTCACAGTCATAACAAGGGGTCCTTCAAAGCCACCCAGGAACAGAAGACTGCCCAGCTCGCCATCCCCATGGCAACTGCTTACCTGTCAGCTCCGCTCTGCCCTGTTTACACCTCAGGATGCAGGGCTCACCTGCATCTTCCTGCCTGGCATGGAGCTGGGCCCATAGGACCCCATTCCCCACATCATCATCAGGGATCTCAGAGGGGGTGGGTCATTATGGCCCCAATGCCCTGCCCAAAACTCACCACACCCTTAAGGACACCTGCTCTAGCCCCTGGAGGATCTGCCCTCCATCCACCTACCCTAGGGCTCCTGAGAAATGCAGAGGATCCCTAGGGTGCACCAAATGACATTCAGAGGACTTGGGAGAGAGGGGGGGCACCTGGCTGTGTAATCTTGGAAGACTTCCCGAAGGAGGAGGGAACTTCACTGAGTCTTACAGTAAGAAGGGGACACAGGCAGGTGCAGAGGATTCAAGTCGGGCCAGGGATCCAGTGTCAGGGCAGCAGGTGGCTTCTCAGCGGTGGGAAGGGGAGGGGTGGAGGCCAGGTGGGCAGCACAGCCAGCATGTGTGTGTCTGGTGGTCCAGGCCACCGCACAGGTCCAGCTCCTGCCCTCACCTGGGGCCCAGGAGTGATCACCTCCGCTTGCCCCAAAGCCTCCTCCACTTAGCCACCTCCACAGAAGCCCAGTCAGGCCCCTAACGGTCAGTCCCGGAGTCCAGGGCCCTTTCCCTACCCCCACCCACCCCGGGCTGGGAACCCATGCTCACAGCCCTCCTGCCCCGCCTCCCAATCCAGTCCTCCTGCAACTTAGTATCCCCAAAATGCAGCTGGGACACCACCCTTCCGAGGGCCCTGCAGCCTGGAAACAAGGCAGTCACCCAGTG